TATGTTTTAAACTCAACAGAATATGTTTTTCACTTTATATAGTCAATGTACATTTACAATTATCCAAACACCACTTAAGTTTTTCATTTCTTCTTGCATTTCTGACCTTCTGTCTGGGGTACTTTTCCATCTACTTGAAGTACATCCTTTAGAATTTTGTCTTAAGTATGCCGGTACTAAACTCTTTTAGTTTGATTGTCTGAGATGTTTTTATTTCATTTTTCTTTTTTTTTTTTTTAAGATTTTATTGGGACTTGGGGAAGAAGAACAGTGTTGGGGAATTGGGGAAGGGTAACAGCCAAGTTTTTGTCCTTCAGTCTTTTGTCCTTCAGCAGGCAGAGCTAGCTCAGTTCCAAGTCCAGTTGCCATCGGCCTGCCCATCAGCAGCTCACGGCCGCTCAGCTCAAGGTGCCATGTTCAATCTTAGTTGCAGGTGGGCATAGCCCACCGTCCCATGCGGGAGTCAAACCGACAACCTTGTTGTTAGGAGCACGTGCTCTCACCAGCTGAACCATCCTGCCACCTGTTGGAAGCTCAGTGGCAGCTCACTGGCCCATGTGGGAATCGAACTGGCAACCCTGTTGCTCAGAGCTCACACTCTTAACCAACTGAGCCACTCAGCCGGCCCCCATTTTTATTCTTTTTTAAGCAAAAGAATAACTTATTAAAATAATAGTAGAAATGACCCAGGTATCATAAATAGAGTGGATAAATACATTGTGATATAGTCTGACGATGGAATAACAGAAAAACATTGATAGAGACAACATGAATATATTTCAGAGAATAAAAGAAGCCAAAGAGTATGTACTGAGCATGTACTGTATATTTCCATTTACATAAAGTTCAGAAACAGGCAAAATGAATTTATGGTGTTACTATCAGGACAGTAGTCACCTTCAGAGGCAGAGGGACTGCAAGAGGACATGAGGGATTTGGGATGCTGGTTACCAGGTATGCTCAGTTCGAGACATTCACTGAGCTGTATGCTTTTATATGTACTCTTTTCTCTATGTATGCCTCAATTAGAGTCACAAAGAAAGAAATTAATGGGAGAAATTAACTAAATATGTCAAAATGTCACCAGTAAATGTTGGAAAAGCAGGTTTGGTCCCAGCATGCTTCCCAAATCCGGCACAGAAACTGAATGAACCTACCTCTGTTCATTGCTGAGCACTAAATGCAGCTGTGGCTTATGGAAGCTTCTGCCTGAGATACACATGTATCACAACATGACACTGGATTATTTATGCATTTATTTATTTCCTGTCTCCCTAACTAGCACGTGATATCACTGTTGGCACACAGGAAACACTCAACAAATACTTGTTAAATGTGTTTGCCTCTATATCTTTTCATAACTGAGCAAAATTCGCCTTCTCACAGATATATTCTTTCACCTTTATTCTTAAAGGATATTTTTGCTTCGTATGGAATTTAAGTTGGCAGTTGTTTTCTTCTGGTACATTGGAAATACCTTTCCATTGGCTTCGCTTCTACTGTCACATTTAAGAAAGCAGCTGGGAATCTAACCATGGCTCATTTTCAGGATATGTCTGTTTTCTCTGGTTGCTTTTCAAAAGTTATTAAACTTATCATTTTGAGATAATTATAGATTCACATTCAGTTGTAGGAAAAAATAGAGAGAGATCCTGTGTACCAATGTCTGGCTTCTTTTAAGATGATCTTTCTACCTTTCTTTTCCTTCAGTTTCACAATAATGTGGCCTACCCAGTCACTCCTTTACTCCTGGGATTCCAACTAAAGGGATGCTGGGCTTTCTCACTCTATCTTTACCTTTTCTTTTTATGTGTTCATGTTGCAATCTGTATGGCTCCAATTAATTAGACACTATCTTCAGCTGTGTCTAATCTGCTGTTAAACTCTTCTATTTAGTTTTTAATGTTGGTCATCAAACTTTTCAGTTCTAAAAGTTTTATGTGGTTCTTTGTTCAGATTTGTTATCACACTTTTTAGAGTACCCTCTTTCCTGTAGACATTTTCAAGATTGTTTTTCAAATTCCTTCTAACACAGGAACCACAGTTGTTATATTTTGGGCCCAATAATTCCAATACCTCACATCTTTGTGTGTCTGCTTCTGCTGCTTGCTGTTTCTCCTGGTTCTTGCTCGCCTTATCTTATTAGTGTACCCAGCTATCCTTGATTGTATGTTGGTTATTATATTGTATCTGAGTATTAGTTAGGAATAACTACAGACCTGGGATGATGGCACTCTCTCAAAACAGGGCTTTTATTTGCTTTTGCCAGATGCCTAACAGCACCACCTGTGCGGGACCACCTTAATCTAAGTCCGAGACCTGAGGTTATCTAGACCATTGAGGGGATACAAGCCCAGACAGCAAAAAGCACACTGGCTAATTTACTTACAGTTCAACTTTACCATATAGGTGTTACTCTTTAGGATCCTGCCTTAAATTTGGGGCTCGTTTACCAGAGTCTCTACCTTGGGTGCGCCTGAGTTTTGACATATATTTCCCTGGCCCTGTGGAATTCCCAAGATCACACATATCAGTTTCATAGTTGCTTACTTAATACTAGAAAATATTTTCAGGGCAAATGGGGTTTTATATGCTGGGCTTAACCTTTCTTGATACGTAGATTTTTAGACTGATAATTTCTCACTGACTTATTTGTTCTTTATACTGTTTCCAAGATCTTTATTTTTACTATTTTTTCAGCTTTTCGAGTAGCCCTCAGTGGAAGGTTGGCTTGAGTGTGCTAACTTGCCACTACTAGAATGTCTGAAGCCTCACCATTCTTTTTTAGAGCTGCATAAACTTTCATCATGTGGCTCTATCAGAATTTATGTAACCAATCTCACACTGAAAAGGCTATTTTCAATATTTTGGTGTTTGAATCAATTCTAGAACAAATAACCTTGCATATATTCCATTTTACATGAAAATAGGCTTGTATGTATTTCTTTCATTTTTATATCTCTAGCTTCTGGATGTTGCCGCACATAATAAATGCTCAAAAATACTTGTTGAATACATGGAAGCAGAATTAAATGGCAATTTTGCTTGATCTAATATCATATTTCTTTTGTGTCTTTGATAATATTTATTGGCCAACTTTCTCCTATCCATCAAACAATAGTGGGATCTGATGGCCAAGTGTGATGCCATTTTATCTGATACCATTTTGACTGTGCTTGTATGTGTTTTTGTGTCCTCTTCCTTCATAGCTCACAAAAGAAGGGGAAAAGAAACCACATGGATAACTTCAGGTCAGACTCAAGAACACTAAGGGAAGCAGAGTGATTTCTTAATTTATCCAACACCTGACTTGCTTTTTGGGAACAGAAAATCATGGCTGTAAGACAGAAGGAAGTTGGGAGAGATAGAAGACAGTTGGATGAGCACACACAGAATTTTGCCTAGAGTGAGTATTAATCAGAAAAAGTTAGGCTCCTGTCATTGCTTTTGAGTGTCAGTCTCTCCTTCTAACATACCTCCCAACTAATGTGTCATGAGAAACTTTTAGCCTCCTGGAAGGGGCAACTCAAGAGCAACTGCTTTTTAGGATGCAAGTGACATAGGAGAAGTCAGAAATCTCAAACAACCCAAGTTGATTTTTCTCTTTGATGTTCCAATACTGATCTTCTTTTTTTTCCTGTCACATTTGATGTTTCTAAATCTTAATACCATTTTTGCACATACAAAGCATAAAGTAGAAAAAGGCTTGGGAATGATACAGTTTGTTTGATAAGCAGAGCCTGCAATCTGAATCTGGACCCAAAAGTTATTCTTTTTGGCTGTGAATTTTTCAAACTGTCAAAAATAATTAAGAAAACTAGATCATCTGTTTATACTGCTTAAATAACCACAGTATTGATTTTCACAAATGTGCCTTTTGTTCATCTAGGCCTCAAATACAATTCCAGATGATAGCAAGAGGGGCTAGCTAGACATTATCTATCAAAAACACATCTGCCTTTTAACCCCACCCTCCACCTCCCAAAAAAAAGCAGGACTAGAATAAAGAGACAGAGAAAGGGTATGGTCAGTTTAAATGAGTCAGAGTTCTCTACGAAGGAGTAATTATACCCTACTGACAAGCATTAGCAACATGGTGAAGTAGGTGCTTTGGAGAAGTAACAAGAGGTCGGATTCGCCTGGATTCTCTCCCTACGCCAGTAGTGAGGATTTTTTTGTTTTTGTTTTTCTTCATTGGTTTTTGCCCAAGAGCCAGTTTAGGAAAATCTGCAGGCTGGATTTTTTTTCTCATTCAAAATGAAAATAGTTTTTATTGAGTTTTGTGGAAAAAACATTACTCTCCCTTGCAAATTAAGATGACAAACAAGATAACAGGCACTGTCATTAGCACTAACATGTTAACAACATCTGGGCACATTCAAGAATTAGGAACAAGGCAGAAGGTGATTACGGTGTTTCTATCAGGAAAGTTTCTATCTATTATAGGTTCTAGATCGCCATTTAGATGACCTTGAATTTCCTAGAGAAAAGAACTCTTTTGAGTTCATATCTGACCTAGATGAAATCACTGAACACTTCTGAATATAGGTATCCTTTTTTCCTTAACAGTAATTTGCAATTTTGTCCAGCTGCTATATGAATTTCAAGCTGTGTTATTTAAGACAATCTGTCCTTGAGGTACTTTGAAGCTGTCACTCTCTGATTGATTTACCAGCATGTGAACTGCCCACAGATCCAGCCCTGTGTTTTTGGGAACCACTTGCCACCCACCCATAACATAACCCCCTCGCCTGAGCCAACAAATCACTCAAACGTTGTCCTGGAAAAACAAAACAAAACCTCTGGAAGTTACTACACTAAAAAAAGTCATCCTAAGGAAACTCTCTAATTCAGGTGTTCCATAAGGAAAAACACCATCCCATTTCCTAATAATTTTCCTTTGATGAGTATATTTATTTAACTGATATTTATCAAAAGCTTGTATTGGCCAACTATAGTACTCTGTGCTTTTCTTTATGAGAATAAAGTCAAATACCCACCCTGGAAAAGTGGTCATTTCCAAGAAGTGTTTGCAAAATGACAGGTAGCTGCTTTTCCAGATGAAGCTTAAGGCAAAGTTGGGTCAGTTCCTCTCGGTCCAGGAAGCCTGTCCCGGTGGTGTCACAGCTGCTGTAGGCTTCTCTGAGCTGAGAAACATAATGGTTCTCCTCTTCTTCATCCATCCCATAACAGGCTGGACATGCCAGGGGACAGAAACTACAACAATGGTACACTGTTACTGTCACACCTCCACTGTTAGGATCCCAGGTGGTATGTCCCAGGTGCAGGGTAGGAGCTGATTGTGTGGGCCCACGGCATCCAGGGTCCTCTCAGGTTTAAGTGGAATTAGGAGGAACCAGCTCCACCTTTGCAAGAGAGGCCAGAAACATGTTACGAGAGCCAGTCTTCCTTCATAAGAACCAGAATTTCTTCGTTCTGTTAAAAAAAAAAAATCTATTACAGAATAATCAGAAAAAAGGACAAGTATAAAGAGAATTAAAACCATCTAAAATTTCACTACCTAAAAAAATAATGATTTTGATTTAGTATTTTGGCAAATATAAATTTTAATTTCTATCTTTACATACAAGCATGGTTTTTTCCTTACAAACATAAGAAAAAATGGAAAGGCCAATAAAAATAGAATGTTAATAAACAAATCACAAAAGAAGAAAAATATATGAAATATATGGTCAACAACCATCTAAACAAAGTTCAAATTAAAACCAAGAGGTACTGGGCTGGCTGAGTGACTCGGTAAGAGTACAAGCTGTGAACAACAGGGCTGCCGGTTCGCTTCCCACATGCGCCAGTAAACTGCGCCCTCTAAAGCTAAGATTGTGAACAACGGCTCCACCTGGAGCTGGGCTGCCGTGAGTGGCCGGCAACGACGTAAGCTGCTGTGAACCACAATGAGCGGCTGTCCAATGACCAGCGACCGACTACCTCAGCCAAGAAGGGCACAATGATCATAATATCAACATGGGCCAGTGAAGCAGCGTCCTTCATCACTAGGCTGAAGAACAAAAGGACAACTTGTCTGTTCCCCTTCTCCAGTTCCCCAATAAAATCTTTTAAAAAACCCCAAAAATCAAGAGGTACTATTTGTGACTGTCAAATTACCAAGAATAAAATCTCACTGCTAAGCGGCCAGCAGCTGCAGTGAGCGGCCGTCCAGAGACCAGCGACTGATCTGCCTCACCCGGGAAGAGCGCAATGATGGTGCCAACTTGGGCCAGTGAAGCAACGTCCTCCACAACTAGACTGAAGAACAAA